GGACCATGCATGAGACCAGATTGCCTGATGCAGCTTTGACCCCCCCCAGGCCCATCCTACCATAGACTCTTGCAGCATACAGTGGACAGCCTCATGAGCTGAAGACAGCCGTACTCAGCTTCACGAACGCTCCGGCCTGAGGCTGACCTTCTTGCTAGGGTTGGAGGCTTAGGGGGACAGAGCTTCTTGGTATCCAGCAGCTGGGTGATAGTAGGATGGGGGTAGGGCCTTGGGGAGGGAAGGAGGTCTCCAGCTGTCTTTATAGTTTTCATTTTGAAGCCAGTGTGCAAAGGGTCTCACCTGGGTGAAGTCCCTGGGGACCTGGGATTTATCATCACTCTTGAGCTCACTCTTTAGATGGTAACTAATGCAGGAGAAGCCGGCTTGGGGCAGATTGGCTCTTGGCCTGCTCTGAGTTGACTGGCACCCACACATAAGGGGTATGGGCCTGTTGATTCTGGGTTAATGGAGGGACGCCGAGTCCGTGAGCCACTACCCCAAGGTGTGCATCTGCAGAGTGCCCGCCCATTGGGATGGAATCACACCGCATCGAGGACAACCAGATCCGCGCCTCTTCCATGCTGCGCCACGGCCTCGGAGCCCAGCGCGGCCGGCTCAACATGCAGGTGGGTGAGTGGACTGTCCATCTGGCACTGGGCCAGGGCCCGTCTGCCCATGCTCAGCCTTCCCTCTAACAGGCTGGTGCCAATGAAGACGACTACTATGACGGGGCGTGGTGTGCTGAGGACGAGTCACAGACCCAGTGGATTGAGGTGGACACCCGAAGGACGACTCGCTTCACAGGCATCATTACTCAGGGCCGGGACTCCAGCATCCAGTATGTGTAGATAGGTTCCTGGGCAGTGGGCAGGGGCCCGGCACAGCTCTGAGTCCCATGTGGGGCATTAGAGCCTTGGGTGAGAGCGGCTTTGTCTTGATTGTGTCTGCTCCGCAGTGACGACTTTGTGACCACCTTCTTCGTGGGCTTCAGCAATGACAGCCAGACCTGGGTGATGTCCACCAATGGCTATGAGGAAACGGTGGGTATCAGAGAGCTGCTCCACTCACACGTTTGGACCGAGGAGGACCCTTGGGAGAGGCAGGGTGGGACAGAGGCCTGCTTCTCTCTAGACCTTCCATGGGAATGTGGACAAGGACACACCTGTACTGAGCGAGCTCCCTGAGCCGGTGGTGGCCCGGTTCATCCGCATCTATCCGCTCACCTGGAACGGTAGCCTGTGCATGCGCCTGGAGGTGCTAGGCTGCCCCGTGACCCGTGAGTGAAGAGGGGGCTGCCTGAGATTTTGGGGTAACTGTGTCTGATTTGAGTGTGGACCAAAGGACAGCTGATCCCTGTATGCCTGCTTTTCTGTAGCTGTCTATAGCTACTATGCACAGAATGAGGTGGTGACCACAGACAGCCTGGACTTCCGGCATCACAACTACAAGGATATGCGCCAGGTTAGGAACCCGAGTCACAGGCTGGGATGGGCCCTGCTAGGGTACAGAAGAGCGTATACTTCCTTAGCCCTGTCCTTACTATTCCAAATATATAGTCTCCCCTTGAGGAATCTTGGTCACTCCTTGCTTTAGGGAGGAAACTAGTACCTGGGGACACCTGAGAGGGGCTGGAGTTACCTGCCTCTTCCCATAGAACCCATCAGGGGAGCAGGCGCATCCCGGTCAGTGACGTCATATCCCCTCCCTGCCAGCTGATGAAGGTTGTGAATGAGGAGTGTCCTACAATTACCCGCACATACAGCCTGGGCAAGAGTTCACGGGGGCTCAAGATCTATGCAATGGAAATCTCGGACAACCCTGGAGAGCACGAGCTTGGTGAGAGCCAGAGGACATTGTTTTTGTCAATGGCCAGAGCATCAGGGTCCTGCCCTGCTGTGCTCCTGTTGGGCTCGTACAGTGGATATGCCTGACCTGGAGAGCCCAGGGGATCCAGGCTCGCCTTGCTGAACACCATAAGCCTCTGTTGCCCACAGACCTTTTGGGTACATCTGGGTCTTGCCAGGCTAAGTGCTCGCTGTGCCTCCTGTCCTTGCAGGGGAGCCTGAGTTCCGCTACACAGCTGGGATCCACGGCAACGAGGTGCTAGGCCGAGAGCTCCTGTTACTGCTCATGCAGTACCTGTGCCACGAGTACCGTGAGGGCAACCCCAGGGTGCGCAACCTGGTGCAGGACACGCGCATCCACCTGGTGCCCTCGCTGAACCCTGATGGCTATGAGGTGGCGGCGCAGATGGTGCGTGGTGGTGGTGGGGGCGTAGAGCTTGGAGGCAGGGGCTCCTCGACCTCCCATCCCACAGTGACTTATGGTTTTCCTTGCAGGGCTCGGAGTTTGGGAACTGGGCGCTGGGGCTGTGGACTGAGGAGGGCTTTGACATCTTTGAGGACTTCCCTGATCTCAACTCTGTGCTCTGGGCAGCTGAGGAGAAGAAATGGGTCCCATACAGGGTCCCGAACAATAACCTGCCAATTCCTGAACGTTACCTGTCCCCGGATGCCACGGTGAGACACATCCTGGCTTGCTGAGTGGTGGTGGGCAGGGTGGAGGGTGGGGGATGGAAAGGGGGAAAAGGGTTTGCTGACAGGAAGCTGAGGTGCTGGCAGAGACCCTGGAGGGCAAGAGGAAGACTCAGAGGGCCATGGATAGGAGAGTAGTGTGCTCACAGATGGAAGGCAGCATTGGTTCTTATACCACCTACCCCTAGGTATCCACAGAAGTCCGGGCCATCATTTCCTGGATGGAGAAGAACCCTTTTGTGCTGGGAGCAAATCTGAATGGTGGTGAGCGGCTTGTGTCTTACCCCTATGACATGGCCCGGACACCTAGCCAGGAGCAGCTGTTGGCCGCGGCACTGGCAGCTGCCCGCGGAGAAGATGATGACGAGGTATCTGAGGCCCAGGAGACTCCAGATCATGCCATTTTCCGCTGGCTGGCCATCTCGTTTGCCTCTGCCCATCTCACCATGACAGAGCCCTACCGGGGAGGGTGCCAGGCCCAGGACTACACCAGCGGCATGGGCATTGTCAACGGGGCCAAGTGGAACCCTCGCTCTGGGAGTAAGTCAGCCCGGGAAGAGCTTGGGAAAGGCACGTGGAAGGGACGGGGGGAGGATGACCACAGATCTGTTTGTCTGTCCAGCTTTCAATGACTTCAGCTACCTGCACACTAACTGCCTGGAGCTCTCCATATACCTGGGCTGTGACAAGTTCCCCCATGAGAGTGAGCTGCCCCGAGAGTGGGAGAACAACAAAGAGGCGTTGCTTACCTTCATGGAGCAGGTGGGATAACCTGGGCTGCACAGGAGGCGGGGTGAAGCTTGGGAGGGGCGCAGACATTGGATCTCTATGTGGGCTCCCACCGCGTCTCCCTTTTGAAGGTGCACCGTGGCATTAAGGGTGTGGTGACAGATGAGCAAGGTGTTCCCATCGCCAATGCTACCATCTCTGTGAGTGGCATCAACCACGGTGTGAAGACAGGTACTTGGCATGCACTTCTTTTTTTAAGGGTCTCACCATGTACCTCTGGCTGGCTCGGAACTTGCTGTGTAGCCCAGGCTAGCCTTAAATTCATAGCCCTTGAGGAGATTTGAGCTTGTGTCATGACACCTGGTTCTTGAGTATACAGCTTTCCTTGCCTTCCCAGGTGGGGCTCACCTCGTCCTCTCTAAGCAGTAGCCAAATAGCAAGGCAAGCCTGGTTTGTGTAGCAAGTCTCTGGCCTTCTGGACCCTGCCTAAGACATTGGGCCTGCCCAGGACTGGGGAGGGCAGGGCATGGAGAGACATCTGAGGACTGGGCCTGGGGAATCTGAGAGGGCAGGGTTGGGGAGACCCTGGGACAATCAGGCCCACCTTCCCTATACAGCAAGTGGAGGTGATTACTGGCGCATTCTGAACCCGGGTGAGTACCGCGTGACAGCTCATGCAGAGGGCTACACCTCAAGTGCCAAGGTCTGCAACGTGGACTATGATATCGGGGCCACCCAGTGCAACTTCATCCTGGCTCGCTCCAACTGGAAGCGCATTAGGGAGATCTTGGCTATGAACGGGAACCGTCCCATTCTGCGAGTTGACCCCTCACGACCCATGACCCCCCAGCAGCGGCGCATGCAGCAGCGCCGTCTTCAGTACCGGCTCCGGATGAGGGAACAGATGCGGCTGCATCGCCTCAATTCTACCACAGTCCCTGCCACAAGCCCCACTCCTGCCCTTACGCCTCCCCCTTCCCCTACACCAGCCATTACCTCGAGGCCCTGGGAAGTTCCACCCACTACCACTGCAGGCTGGGAGGAATCAGAGACTGAGACCTATACAGAAGTAGTGACAGAGTTTGAGACAGAGTATGGGACTGACCTGGAGGTGGAGGAGGTAGAGGAGGAGGTAGAGGAAGAGGAGGAGGAGGAGGAGATGGATACAGGTCTCACATTTCCATTCACAACAGTAGAGACCTACACAGTGAACTTTGGGGACTTCTGAGACTGAGAACCCAAAGCCCTGGCCCAATTCCAACTAAAGCAGCATTTCCCAAGCCTGTGCTGGCAGACACAGCCATCAGATGCCCCTGGTGGGCCCTGCTCTCCCAGTGTGGGACATCAAAGCCACTGGGACCAGAGTCTGTGCAGAAGCCCCAGTTCTATCTGCTGGCCACTGGGGGAGGGGCAGGCAAGGAAGCCAACGTCACACCAATAAAACAAGCTCATGACACCGCCTTCCCCTGTTCTGACTGGCTGTCCCTATCTGTCTCATCCCACATGGCCAAGTAAGTGCTCAAGCTTCAGACCTGTAAAAAATTCATGTTTTATTTACAGGGCTTGCATTGCAAGGGTGATGTCCTGACCCAGCTGCCTCATTAGGGACCCAGCCCCAGGTCTTCCAGGTCATCTTGTTCTGCCCCAAAGCCTGCAAAGCTGATGGGCTGGCAGGCCAGGCTGCGCAGGTTCACCAGGCAGGCTGTCTGTGTGGAACTAAAGTCAGGAACAGCCACCAACAGCACCGCCTGGTCCTCAGGACCTGCAAAACAATCATATGGGGTCCACCTCAGGTTCTGGGTAGGACCTGCTCCCCAGGGAAGTCCTCAGAACAGCCACAGTTGGATGTGCTCAGAGCCATCTGAGACCCTCTCCAGTCAGCTACACCATGTCACACACAACAGCCACTGCAGAATGTCTAATCCTGTGGGGAACCTTTGTTCCCAGGTGAGGAAAAAATGTTCTCACAACTCAGACCCGGAGCCCCCAAAAGACTAAACTTACCTCGGACGATTTTGGAGCCAAAGCTGGGGGTGTTGCCACAGAAGTAGACATGAGGGCATTCCGGAAAGATGAACGGGTCGGTTTTGTAGAAGGGGTAGCACCCTGGAGAAAGGCCTGTTGTTGAGCTGTCCCACTAAGGGATCCTTCCCTTCTCACTGAATGCCAACAGCACACCAACTGTGGCAAAAGTGTTCTGTGGTCCCATGACCCAGTGGTAGTAGGGGCTGTATGCTAGTCTGTATGGTATAGGCTTTGGCCCTGGACAGAATGAACCTTCCAGAGTGGATGCCAGAGCAGCTTTTCTGAATACAAGGCTTTGCTGGGACCCCATCCCGCGCCCTTGATCCCACAAGTGTAGCTGAGCAGATACCTAGGGTGTCTGGAGCTGTGGGGCTGATGTGACGGACCCGCAGGGTCCACTCTAGGATCTCTAAATGGTCTTCCATGCTGCTATACCGGAAGATATCACTAACGTTCTGTCCAGATGTCCCCAGGAACCTGCAAGGCAAAGGCTCTGCTGATTGTGGCCTGTGGGCTGGGCAGGAGGCTATCACTGCCATCCCACCTACAAAGACTATCTCAGATCCCACCAGATGGTCTCGTGGGGGTGCCCAAGCCAACCTTGCAAAGCCAGGATTGCCTTCTGCAGCCCTGCCCCCTCCCAGACTTATTTTCCCAGGTCGCATGCCATCTCTACCTTACTCCATCAATGGTGGCTTGGTATGGGTTGGTGACCAGCTGGAGCGTGGAGTAGGCAGTGGCCAGTGGGAACATGCAGGGGTGCAGGGGCTGCTGCGGGAGTGTATAGTTGGTTGGATCAAATTCTCCTGGCATCACATCCACAGGTACCGAGGCCTAGAGGGCACAAGGCAGGGAGAGCTCACAGGCCTCAAGAAGCCCCACCTCCTACTTCAGCTACCCTACCATCCCCATCCAACTGCAGCTTCCCCCTCCAGACTTCCACCACCCCACCAGCCCCCAGGCTGCTTACGCTCAGCTGCAGAAGGATCTCGTCCAGCATTTTGACTGCCTCCACACTGGCTGCCTGGGTTTTCTTGGTGAGGTATTTGGCCTGGGAAAAGAGGCCCAGGATATGGTCAGGTCCAGAGTGAGGCTGACTAGGGGGAGGGACACCCAGAGCCCACCAGGGAGTGAGGCCTTTTGAGAACAGCCCTGGAGCATCAGGCTGGCCAGTCATGTTACCAGGCCAGGGCTGAGCAGTTGGACTCCATACCTTGTTGATGGAATCTCTGCTCTGGGTGTTATGACTGAGGAGGTTGCCTGCAAGGATGACTCGAGAGACATGGGCAGCACTGCACTGTTCTCCTTCGTCCCCAAGCTGTCCCGTCACCACATCCACCAGCAGCTGGGTGCCCAGGAGGCTCTCACCGCCACCACCACCCAGGCCCAGTCCAGATACCAGGAGCACAAATCTGCAGAGGATGGTGAGGTCTTACAGGCTCCTGGAGGGAGGAGGCAAGTCCTCCCAACACAGGCCCTGGGGTACCCGAGTGGGGCTCCTCACCTGTCTGTGTCAAGTGGGGGTACAGGCTTCTGTGGAGCCAGGTCAGCAAAGCAGTGGTCCTCAACCTGAAACCTACCGTCGTCTTTCACAGAGCCAAACACAGCCAAGACCGTTCCTGGGGAAAGGTGAAGTCAGAGCCCCACGATAGCCTTTGAGGCTCTCCTGCTCCCTAGCCACCCCACAGAGCCACTCCAGGGAATCCTTTCAGAACTGATGCCCACTTCTCAAGCTCACTGCTTTTTGGTGAAGACAGGAAGATTGACCTCCCAGATGATCATTGATGAGCAAGCAGCTTCCAATCATGTGAACCCATACCTACTTCTAAAAGACTCTGGTGCTCCAGCCTTAAACGCATAGGCCACCCCCTAAGATGCTCCTATGGGCTTCTCTAAGCGCACTGTTGCTAAGCCTCCCAAAGTCACCCTCGTTCAGGCTCCCCACCACACGGCCTGGGCTCCCACCTGTGACCAGCTTTGACACATCAATGGTGCCTTTCAGTTTGATACGCTGCAACTCATCTTCTAAGACCAGCTCGTCATCTGGGTGGATGTATTTGCTCCGAGGCGGCTGGGGAATCAGGTTGTGCTGGGAGACAGATGGAAGGCAGTCTCAGAGCCAGGTCGCCATGTTATGAAGTGTTATGACGTGGCACTACAATCCCTGCCTGACTAGATTGGCTTTCTCATGCCCTGCAGTCTGAGGCCCGGCTCAATCCACTGGACAAGGTTGGTGGTAGGGCTCACCTCCTCGCTGATCTCCCGCAGGATGGAGGGTTGGAGGGGCATGGCTTTGAAGAGCGTGCCCACCACACAGCACTGCTCCCCGGGCTGCAGCTCACACAGCTTCTTCACTTCAACTCGGCTGCCTGCACGTGAGGGCAGAGTCAGGCTATGAAACCCTACCCTGGAGTCACCCACAGAGGATAAAGAGGCTCTAGGCGGAGTGGGACCTTGACATCAAACATCCAAAGAGGCAGGGAAGGTCAGAGGCAAGGCCATGCAAAGGCAGGGAACAAGCTCAGGAACTCCTGAAGCCACCAGAAGTCAGAATGGTTCTTAACTTGTGGTCGTGACCCTGTCGCAGAGGTTGCATATCAGACTCCTGAATATCAAATGTTTATATTACAACTCATAACAGTACAAAAATTACAGCTGTGAAGCAGTAATGAAAATAATTTTATGGTTAGGGGTCACCACAACAAGAAGAACTGTATGAAAAGGCGGCAGCATAAGGAAGGCTGGGAACCACTCTTCTACAAGGAATCAGCCCTGTTGACCTGATTTCAGACTTTACAACCCCAGAACCATAAGAGAATAAATGTGTGTTGTCCTAAGTCCCCTGTTTGCAGCATCTCCTTCCCACAGACATGGGAAGTAGCTGCAAGTATATTACCTACATGTCTGCCACATGTTCTGTGCTGACAACTACCATGTCCTTAAGACTCTGCAGTCTGCTGATTTTTCCAGACAGGGTCTTACGACATAACTCTGGCTGCCCTGGAACTCACTCCATAAACCAGGTTGGCCTTCAACTCACAGGGACCCACCTGCCTCTGCCCCCCACCCCCTAGTACTAAGATTAAAGGCCTAGCTAAGACTTTGGGTTCTAATGTGCTAGCCCCTGCTCTGCCAGATTCTTTACCCTCTGAAAATACACCTCATAATTCCCACTGTGTGTCCCCTCTACCTCAGCCCATTCTACTCCCTGTGGAATCAGCAGCCTTGTTCATTCAAAGTCCCCAGGAGGAAAACCAGAACATGTGTGACTGTTCCACACGCCCAGCAGGAAAGATGTGGAAAGCTACACTGGGCAAGAAAAAAGAAAACAAGTTCCAGAGAGTTCCAGGGATTCATCAGCACAGACCAATCCTAGGACAAACTGCTGAGGGGGCAGGGTGAAGTGGAGGCTGGGCCAGAACCACACTCATGCCCTGGAGGAGCCAGGAACATTCCTCAGAGCTCCACCCAGAGCTCCATCCACAGAAGGAAAGGGGGACTCACACTACACAGATGCCAACAGAAACAGACTCCAAACTCCCACCTGTGGCTCTGCTATGGTGTAGGTGTGGTCCATCCCTCAAAGACCAGTTGTGCCCAGCCTGCCACTATGAGCTGCTCTCTAGCCAGAGAGAGCATATCAGTGAGCAATTCACACTGAAGATAATGAGGATAGGAAAACCATTTCCTCCACGGATGAAACAGTAGCCATCACTGTCAGAACTCAGCCCTTACCTCTGAGCCAAACCCAACTTTAACCCCACAGGTTAATTTATTTAATCTTCAATTTTAAGAAGCAGAGAGCTGTAATGGCTGTTTTCATGGTTAACTAGTATTCCAGGTTAGATAAGGTCCTAGTTTTAGGTGCTGGGCTGCTGGGAGCAGTGTACCCCAAGCTTACCCCAGTGCTGCTGTGCTCGGCTCACCAGGAAGGGTCTCATCTGGATAAGGCGGGTGGCATAAATATGGGCATACTGTCGGTTAAAGCTGCGCTCTCCCAGTCGGAAGGGCTGTGAGGAGTTGGTGTAAGTTGCCACAGGCACCCGGGCAAAGGTGGCATTGCTGGCCGACGGCGGGGAGAGCAGAGTGTGGGCCCTCTGTGCTGCCTGCTCTGAAAACATGGCGGCACTTCTGGCTTGTTTGGTCTAAGCAGCTGTGTGCAGGCCGAGGAGTTATCACTGCAGAGACACACAAAGGCATTCCTGCAATTCCTACTTGTACCCAAAGCAGCTCCCCACGCTGCCCACACTGCACCCAATGTGCATACATATGTCTGGAGATGTCACCCTATAACCTAATCAGATAGAGCCTGGAGCTTGTTCCAAACCTTGTTCACTACCTCCTCCTCTCCACATTTCTACCCAATTACCAGGGTCTCAAATTCAGCATACCCTCGAATGGAATTATTGATCTGCCTCTATCCAGCTCCCTGGTAA